CCAATTTAGCAAAGGATGTGTCAAACATTGATGCTGAAATCAAATCGTTCTATTCGAAAATGGAGACGGAAATTTTGGATGTCTCGGTGCTATATGATAAAATTCAATCAGATTTTGGAAAATTAGCTGAAATTACAACGGAATATCCTGCTCGGTTCGAAAGCCAACTTGCAAATGCGATCAATTCTCTTCACATCAAAATTACAGCAGATACTTTGAAACAATTTTCGAGCTATCTTGAAGTGATTCCATTTTTAAACATAAAATTGAAACAAAAATCCATGTATTGTTCGCGAATGAAACAATATTGACCATTTAATTGTATTATTATTCACCGAGCTTGTGACACAAATACAAGACCGTGTTCGACGAACGAGAATGCTTCTCGTCTGGAATCATGTCGTGTCGAGTGTGTGCATGTTCGTTGTGTGACTGATGCGTGTATTGCGAGTGAGCGAAGCGTATTTCATTTGACTCACATTTCCCGTATGCACAATCAATTTAAATTGCACTTAATGACACGGATGCCTCAAGTTAGACATAGCGAACGAGAGAGAGAGAGAGAGAGAGAGAGAGAGCGTATCAAATAACATCAGACGAAATAACGTTGATGATGCTACGATTTTTTCTCTCTCTCTTTTGCGTTTGTACAATTCGTAGGCTGGATTGAATTGGATGGTAAATTGAGGCTGAAATTAGCAATAGCTCATCTAAGTCATTTTATAGTTTTTGGTCTGGTCTGGTCTGGTCTGTGGGGGTAATCATTCATTCACCGAAGTGCTATGTTTACGTCGTTGTGCGCATCTTTAGCAATAAAAACAACAAACTCAACATCCGAAGAAAAAAAAATCGAATAAAAAGACGTCGAATTAATATCGCGTTTGATGTGTTTCGCTAGACAAGCAAGAAGAGAAAAAAACAAATCCACCAAAAATGATGATGATGATGATGAAAATAAATAAATAATAATAAATCATCATGATACTGGGCGAACGTCAGCCGACGACGACGGCGACGTAGAAGAAAAAAAAATGCCATATAAATAAGAATGATACAATAGTAATAACAACAAACGTAACGAGAGAGTGAACGAAGAGAGTGGAAAAAAAAACTTGAACTTCCAATTGCAGATCGCGAGACCAAAAATGAACTCAATGAGTACATTAATAACAAAAGCAAAAGTCAAAGAATCGAAACAGAGTGAAAAAAAAACAAATGGACGCGAAACGCAACAACAACAATCACATTGCTCTGTATGCTGGCTATGTGCGCATATGCTATCTGGTCAAAGTCATGTACAAACCAAAGCGAGTGTGTACGCAACACAATGAGTGAGTATCACAATAATGACGACAGCAACGCGGTAGCACGACAGAGGGCATCAATACCATTACCAAGCAACAAAAACATCAACAGCAACGCAAATATCATGTACATAACGCGCAATAATCATTAACTTCAATTTTTCTTTCATTGATCTCCTCTCTTTTCTTTTACGTGTGCGATGCCTGCTGTTTTACAGCATTCGCTTGCTTTTTTTGCTTCTCATCTCAGTTCAACTTCTTCTTCGTCATTGTAGTCGTGTTCAACATTGTAGATACTCTCCATGGTGTTGTGTTGTCGATGTCCGAGAAACAAAAAACCCACTCTGCATAGACTCACGCAAGCCACATTCGATCTTGGAACACATTCTGACTCACACACTACACCAGTTCATGGCACGGAATTTCGCAACAAAACAACATTGAGATGAATGCGCGCACGCTGTTGTCGCCGTTGTTTCACTTCGCTCGATGTGTATGTGCTTGTGCTGTCGTTGTTGTATTTTTTCTTCTTCTTTCTTCTTTTTCTCTCTGTTTTGATTTCGTTTTTTTTCTACGCGGTCGAACTGGCACTCTCTTTGCACATATTGAATTCATATTGAAAGCATGCAGCGCACCGAAATATGTGTGCTAGCATGTTGCGCCGACACGATCGCCGCTCATTTCTCTCTGTGTGTGTCTCTCTTCTGCATTTCCATCTCCATATGTACTTACACACACTGTATACATAATAAAGAATGGCAAGTATGGAATTGAATCTCGTGACAAGGCAAAAGCAGCAGCAACACACATTCACACAGACCCACATCTCGCGAGAGTCGAGAGATGTGCGCTTTGATTTTCATTGCTGTGAGGCAACAGCACACATTTCTTCGTAATAAGGTCATCAGACATTGAGTTTTGCTCATTATTTTCCTTTCTGGTTTAACTGCGTTCGCCGCGGCCGTTTTGCAAACACTCTATGCAACCGGCTATTTTGCGTACAACCTTTTCCGCTGCTGTCGCCGCCGCCGTCGTCGTCGTCGTCGTCGCCGTCGTCGTCGTCGTCGTCGTCGTCGTCGTCGTCGTTGTCATTATTGTGCATCGCATTCTATGGGAAAAGTATCGCACAGATTCGCAATTAATCGCGTAATTTCAGTTCTATTTTTGCGAATATTTTTTTTCTTCTTCACTTCATTCAGTCTATTTTTGGAGACAAGAGTTTTTTTGGGATTTCGTAGAATTTTGCTTAATTATAGACAATTTTGAGCTACCTACACCACAAATAAATTAGAAGTTTATTTCCGAGAAAACGTCTGGTCTTTTTTGCCAAATTATTCGTTAGTTTCGGCGGTTTTTTTTTTCGTTGGTCGACGATTTGGTTTCCAAATGTGGATCTTTCGCGAAGCATAAAAGTCGATCATTCATTATATCATCAACGTGCGATTACTGTCGATTTCATAAAGTCATTCAACTTAATGGAATTCGAAGATTTGTGCCGGAAGATTTGTGTGTGTCCGCTTCTTGATTCAATATTCCTAATTGATTTGATGATATACGCAAATCAAATCTCATTGCCATCAAGTAATGGCGAAAAGTTCATGTTCCATTTGTAAATCACTTTAAAATATTCAATATGCTTGAGCACTTTCTTGTTCGTACATATACATTTATCCAGCAACTGCTTTTAATCTTGATATATATTCATCGGGCTGAACGAAAGCAACAAGAAAAACTCGAACTCTCGATAGTCATCTCGATTGCTGGAACATTGTGGTTTTTATATATTATTTTAACATTTTCATGTAATTTTCCATTCTCCGTCGCAAGACCGATTGCTGTCCAAAATAATGACAGACAGATAAATCTAGAATCAAATGTCGCCGTCGCGATGCCGATGTTCATTTGAATTACAATCGCTCAATGTATTTTCTCTTTTAAAGCCACTTTACAGTAAAGGCCATTTTATTCACTCGCTGGATGGTTTTTCGTTCCCAGAAGAAAAAAATGATGATTTGTATCTTCAAAACCGACTTAATTGTAATCATGTCTGTTTTATTCTTTCTGTTTAATGTACCGCATTTACCCGAAAAACCAACCGACAGAAAGAAAAAAAACAACGACAACCGAGCACGAGATTTTGATGGTGTTGGTGATCGTGGCGAGTGCGAAATATGTGTTTGTGATTTCGTATTCAATTGTGCAGGTATTTATGCGAACTAATGGTTTGACCTTGGAATTCTAAAATCCACGAAAAAAAGCATTGCTTTGTGTCGTTTGCTGCTGCTAGTGGTTCTCTTGTAAGCACGCTAACCATATATAAAATGCTCTCTTGCTCGCATGCTTGGTTTTCTTCGCTATTTTTTCAGTTTTTTTTTGTCGTTTGTAACACCAAATGCTTGTTTTATACGCTCGCTTTTTATTTTCCTTCCATTTACCAATTGCTGCAACAATAATACATGCACGTACGTACACTCACTGAATGTGTGTTCGATCGAGAGTCTCCTCTCCTTGTTGCTACTTATAATGTTCATGGCTTTATGCTTGGTTGCGCTTGAGAGGCGAATAAATTTCAAAATAGAAGGAAAAGATATAGAAGTGCACGCAAATTGGCGCGTCGATTCATCTAATTTCAGCTACGATATATGTGTGCTATGTTGTGTAATCTGTACTTCAACATGCTTTTCGCTTTTAGTACGTGCGCTTCAACAATAATGCAGAGAGAGAGAGAGAGAGAGAGAGAGAGAGAGAGAGAGATAGAAAAATTAGAGAAAAAACGACAGAAAAAAGTTTACGAGGGAAAATTGCTTGGAAAAACCAATCCGTACATTCTATGTAATTCAATTGGCCACTTGGATAATATTATTGATTGCACATGCATTTGCCTGTGAAACTTTGAACACATGCACATTGCACACACTAACACACGTACGAAATCCCCCAATTGAATCGTTGCGCTTTGTAGTGACAATACACACACAGCACGTCATCTAGTATCAAATGAAATGCGATGAACACAACTTAAAACCTGCATCAAAATGCTTTTGCATCGAAATGTTACGATTCCACAGGCGGGTGCCTATATACAGGCTGCGATACACGTTTTCCAATTGGAAAGCAGGCGACGGTTTGAACCTTCACTAACGTTTCCATGCGAAACACTGTGGAACCGACCGATGTGAAATTATTTCAAAATATTTGCCTATTTCAGAAACTGTTTACTTTAAATGCTGTAAAATACAGCTTATAAAACTCCATGCATTTAACAATGTTAGAAATTTAATTAGAAACTTCCAGTTTTTTCACTATGTTTTTTTTTTCTTTTCAAACCAATCAGTTCAGGTTTTATAGAATCATTTTTCGTTTAATATTTTTTCAATCATTTTGAATGAATCTCATTACAAAAGTGGAAAAAAGTAAAATTTTATTTGAAAACAAATGAAAACCAATGTGAAATTAACAAAATTCCACGAAATAAGATCGTCTATTTAAAATCCACTTCCAATTGTTACAGTTAACGCCATCTGTTATATTTTCACGGTAAAAAGAATGGTTCGACGAGATTGGAATGTGCTAAATGCAGGTAAAATGTGTCATTAAATTGTGTGCGTGTATTGGTTTGGGTGAAGCGTGACGGCTCGCTATACGTGCGATTGTGTGTGCGTGTGCATTGGAATGAGTTAATTCTGACAATATGGAAATAGTAGACAACAAATCCAATTCCAAGTGCTTGACATAATGTCCAATTAATATCATAACATTATCTTTGTCAGTGCGCGCGATACACACGTATTACAATCATCTCATTTTGTTCGATTTTCAGTTTAGTTTTGGTTAATTTGCCGATCGGTTTTGCATTCGAATTCGACAATTGAAACATTGGGAAACGAACTCATCGAGAATAAAAACGAACCGAGAAACAAAAATATCGAATATTTTGCTAATAGTGAAACGTCGTCGCGTACACAATCCGTATTGTTATTGTTTCTTCCATCAAATTTTTTTTGAGCGTATATTTTTTTCGGCATTCCTTTTTTTTCTCGTATCAAATCTGCTTCCATAGACGGTTTCAACAGTTTTTTTTTCTTCTACCGATTCGTCGATGCAAAAATTGTTCATAATTTTTTTTTCTTCAAATGATCTAGTTTATGTTAATAACAACAACAGCAACACGCAAAACAGAATATTGCTATTGAATTTTCAACAAAAGCGTATTGTTGAAACCTTCGATTCCAAATAAATAAGCACTGAATCATCAAGTTATTTTGTTTTGTTCGCCAAGTGATTGCCGTGCAATTAACAAAAACACTGGCCTAGCCTTTGGAACATCTCCATTTTTCTCGTTCGTTTGTTTGATCATTTATTTAATTCGATTTAAAATTGCAAAGGGAATTGTTGTTGTTATTGCTGCTGCTGCTGTGTTTTTTGCGCCTGTTGGGAACGCAATTTTCCCGTGAACTACGACTAATTTTCAAACACATATTCTAAAACATACAATAGGGCATACTAGGTCTAATCACAACAATTCACCAAGATTTTTTTCTGCGCTCCGCACTACAAATGACTACTACTTCGAATCAATTTATTGTGAAATATTGCATTTGATTGTTAAACGCCAACAGATCGAGAGAGAGAGAGAGAGAGAGAGAGATAAAACAACAAACATTTTTTGGTCTGCATCGTCTTATTATATAGCATATTTAAAAAGTTTCGAGCGAAATTAGCGCGATTTATTGTATAATTGGCAATCAGCGCAAGAGAAATACACACACTGTGCACACGGTGAACACGAGTCAACAACGATTTTAGTGAGAAACAGCGAGTTTTAGGAAAGGGTACAAAATCTATACAAACAATGACAACCATCGAAAAAATACAATCCGAGTATCCGTTGCACTGGGCCGTTTGGAATGATGACCATAAGGAATTGCAAGAACTGCTGAAAACGAATAAAGTAAGTGTCAAACAATGGTTTCCATTCAATTAGTTCCCATTTGAATCGATGTTTCTAGCCGCGCGACATTCACAGCAAGCAAACAAAACGGAACACGATAAATTTGCATTAATTGTATCCATTGATATGTGTGGGCGGGTGTGAACTTAAGCTGATAACACATTTTCTTTTTAGCTGATAGCTGAGAAGCGGCGTCTTTTCAAGTTCAAATCGAATAATACAGAGAAGGAAATATATAAATTGAAGAAGAGAGAGGGAGAGAGAGATTGCAGTGTTCGACAAAGTTCTAGGTCTTTTTTCTGTGGAGACGAACATTATTTTCCCTTCAATATTTCTCGTGTAGCAAATCATTTCATTTCAAATCCATTCAATAGCAGAAACTAACGAGATAGAGAGAGAGAGAAGGAGAATAGGCAATATTTGTGGTGCTAAGCTCATTTCATTTACAAAATTATGCACAGACAACTACAGCAAAATTATAACTTTCGGTTTAATAACTCTATTTTTACATATAAATATTTCATGGCGTGTTGTTATTTTTTTTTCTTATTCTCTCCGTTGCTAGTTATTTCGTTATCACGCTTAGTATCTCTTCCAAACGTCGTGACTCAAATTGGTGATTCTAGGTATTTATTTAGTTTTTTTTCCCCTTCGAATACATAACGCGAGCTTTATATTTTTAGCAGCTTTATAATCAATAGCTTAAAAGTGCAATTCAAATAATGAGATACGCTGCAAACTCGTTCGCCGCCACTCGCCATGTACGTATTGATTTTGACTTTGTGCGCGAAAAAATTTCACGTTTCAAACTCATAAAATTGCAACGTAAATTGAAGCACACAATACAGTGTCGCTGCTGCTGCTGCTGCCACCGTCGCCACAGTATTGCGGCCGAACGGAAGATTAATGACAAATTACGAGGAGTTATGTTGCATTCGGTGTTTCATTGGCAATATGATTTGCGTGCTTATAACATAAGCGAAAACCGCCTGCCGCACCCACCCCAGCCCAGCCGACACAGAGAAAATAAAACCAAACCAAACAAAAGAATACCAAATCCAATTATAGAAGTAAAAATTATTACGTCGTTTCCGTAGATCCATGCCGTCGGCCGACCAACAAATAACTTTTAGTACTCAATTGACTCATATCGATGGTGTATTAATGCCAAATTCAATTAGATAAGTTCACACAACGTTCCGAGTAAACAAATATTTCAGCGCAGAAATCTCTTATTCTTTTCTGTCGTCATCGTTTGGGTGTAACTCAATTTGCTTAATTAGTAAAAAAAAAACAACAACAAAAAATCGGTGTGACGATTTATTTAATTGGTTTTAAAAACAAAAATATGATTTTGGTTTCGTATTCGATTTTATGTAGCATGATGCTGAGAAATTGGATACCAGAGGACGAACACCGTTGATGTTGGCCGTTCGATTGTGTCATTTGCAGTCGGTGAAAGTATTATTGGCGGCCAAATGTAATGCGAATGCCGAACGCGACGGTTGGTCTGTGGTCCAAGAAGCTGTATGCACTGGCGATCCCGCTACCTTAACCGCAATACTAGAAGTGCGTGATTTACAACGACATATCCAACGTACGACTCATGTACCGCAGCTGCTTAAAAAGCTAATCGATGCGCCTGATTTCTATGTGGAAATGAAATGGGAGTTCACATCATGGGGTACAGTAGCATATGCGCTTTTTTGCTCTTTGTCTTGCAGAGGAAATGAATTAATTGGTTTTTAAATTATTTGATTTACAGTGCCATTGGTATCGCGACTATGTCCAAGCGACGTTTACAAAGTGTATAAACGTGGTTCGAATGTACGTATCGACACAACGCTTCTGGGATTCGATGGCGTTGCCACCTGGCAACGCGGCAATCGTACTTATATTTTCAAAGGAGATGGTAAATCACAAATTATTCCGACCAATTATTTACAAAGTAATTTTCATTTTGTTCTTTCGTTTTTTGAAACTTTTTCAGCCGATGCAGCGACTATGGTCGAAGTGGATCATGATTCACAGGATTTTACCGAATTCCAAATGCAATCGGCCGAATTTTGTTTAAATCCGCCGGAACGAAATGGACAGCGTCGTTTGAGCGATTTAAATGGCATTGCGCCAACGATAGAGTCGGTGGCCGCCCGTTTACATGCACCGGTCACATCGAATCGCATTGATATGGACAAAATTAGTTTCGAACGAAACAAGACTGGCATTTGGGGCTGGCGTAGTGATAAAATGGAAAACATCAATGGGTACGAGTGCAAAGTGTATGCGGCGAGTAATGTGGAATTCGTCACTCGAACTCGAAACGAACACTTGAATGAAACTCAAGCTCGGGTAAGGTTTATTGTTTTGTTTTCTCGTGGTTGATACATTGCCAATTCAATTGAAACATTCCAATCGGAAATCCTTTGTTTTTTTTTTTGTTAGCCGTAAATGGTTGAATTTCTTTTTTACTTCCATTTTTCGTTGGCATCGATTTCACTATTTTTTGATTCCATTTTTTCTTCTTCAAAGACTTTTGTTAGACTTTCGAAAGGGAGAAATGAAAGAAAATTGCATTTCTGGTCGTAAATCAATTCCGTTTTCGTTTTCTTCTTTGCAGTCTCGTAACTCGCGTACACCATTGCATAGTTTCCTTGGCATGGCCGAAGAAGAGTGTTCAAACGTTGACCAATCGCTATTCCGCGATGCATCGCCAATTGCATCGCCCGACAATGAAGTATCGACGAGTACACAAATTGATGTGCCAACCAAAGCGCTAACGCCAGAGGAATACTTTGCCGATGACGATCTTAATGGGCGTGACGTTGGCCAACCGCAAAAAGTCACAACGAAAGTGCAACGGTTCAAAGCAAATCTCTGGCTCAGCGAAGAATTTCCAATCAAATTGCAAGAACAAGTGCTTCCAATTCTGGATTTAATGTCAACGATGGCCAGTCCACATGTCTCAAAACTCAAAGATTTCATTACAATGCAATTGCCGTCTGGTTTTCCGGTTCGTATCGAAATACCATTGTTCCATGTGCTGAACGCGTGTGTCACATTTGGCAATGTGTTCGGTTTGGAAACGGCCGTAAAAAATGTGGAAAATTTACGCGAAGAGGATAGTCAACGTTTGAGCTGTGTCATCGATGATAGTTGTTTTGATATACCGTCACATTATACGAATAAGACCAATGAATACCGTCGCCAATTAACATTCGAGGATGAAGACGATTTGCTGCAGTATGCATTGCAACAGAGTCTCATTGAAGCGGGCACCGAATCGGAACAGGTTGACATTTGGGAAGCATTGAAAGCTCAACGACCCATGTCACCGGCCAATCTAACCGACGAAGATGCTCAACTACAAAGGTAACTAATTGCTGAAAAACTAAAATTGAAACTTTTTGAAACCGAAGAATTAAACAAGTTTTCTTTCCAAAGTGCTAATGCTAGTAGAAGAGGTAGTCTCGATTTGAATCCATTAAAATCCTTACGTAAAAGCCCATTGAAGAGACTATTTTGAAAAGAAAAAAAAAATGGAATGAAATCAATTTTTGATTTAGACCAAATTTTAGTGTTTTTTTTTCCTTTTTAGTTTGGCAAGCGCTAGTACCCCATCACCTAATTCGATTGTCCCTTTGCATTTTGCTTTTTGTTTTGTCAATTTTAGGGTGCTACATGAATCGTTGTATGGATATTATCCGACATCTGAGTCAACGCAAACCGACAACGGTGATTTGACACCAGCAGCAAATCAACAACAGCCAAATCTTAATACTGCCATCCGTTCACCGACCACAGACAATCTCGATGCCGATCTGGCCATGGCGCTTCGCATCAGCGAACAAGAGCAACACATCTTACAAGAGGAGCTAAAACGTGAACAAGAAATGCTGGAAGAAGTGCTTCGGCTCAGTCTGCAGGAAAAGTAAAGAAGAAGAGAACAACTGTTGCTAGGCTTTTAGATAAAATCAATTCAAGCGGCAAGGGAGCACCATATCCATCACATATACACAAATAAGCCTCAGACTCACATTTACACACAGCGCATTGTTTGTAATGTTTAAATTGCCTTAAAAAAAATTCCCTTCAAATCATCTTTATTATATCTTTGTGATACAAACTAGGCTACACACATACTGTAACTACTAAAAATGAAAACATTTAGCTATTTCAAGGGTTTGTAGGTAGACAAAAAACAAATAACAAATGAATGTATGAAAGAAAAAAAAACCGGATTGCCAGAGAATAACAGCATCAAAATAATGCATAATTTTTGTAAATTATTTTTTAAACAAAAACAAAAGCACACATTCAAAGGCGACCAATTCGAACACATACACACACACACACACATCGCTTTTACGTAGAGTGTTTATTGAAGATAAAAAAAATTAGAGACAAAAAACGAAAAACATATTATGCAAACTATGTCAGCCGAACTCGAAACGATCTGATAGGACGCAGTTCGTTCTTTTTATATTATATAAAAAAAAAATATATATATATATAGAGAGAAACGACATGAACTTTTATATCTGTAACTATGGCTGAGATTGAGAGTAGTATGTTTCATTGACTTTTTTGAGAAAGAGAAGCGTAAGTTTCTTCCGGCTTTTAAATGGTTTAAGGCGAGTATGTTTTCATTTTGGAGGGTTGTCACGATTTTTTTCACGTTTTTCAATCAAATCAAAATACAAAGACGCCATTTCAAACTCATAAATTAAAGAGAAAAAAAAACATACTCTACTCTCAATTTCACCCACAGATTTATAATTCTACATTCGGCAGTGCTTTCCAGACAGAACAAAATAATACCATTCATTATGATTCAAGATTATTATTATGATTACTACAAAAAGAAGCAAACAATTTATATACGCATACTGAATCATTTTTTTTGTCAAATTATATTCTTCCGATAGAAACAAATCATATTTATAACCGTTATTTTCTAAAAATAACAACAAAAAAATTCATAAACAAATGAATGAAAGTGTTTATTTAATGCATCTGAACATTCAATTCAATTCAAATAAATGAACGATTGAATATTTAAACGTTGCTTGCATTTCTTTCATTGAATAAAAAATTGTATGCAAAAATTATTTCTTTTTCAAAAGTCGGTTTGTTCCATCGACACCTAGATGGCGTTAGTGTGAGTATTTTAAATATTTTTTTTCTTCGCTGATGATGATCTCAACTGACTAAAATGAGCTAGTCGCTCACGTTGTGCGTATATAAAATTATTCAAAGAAAAAATTTGAATGAAATTTAATTGGATCAATTTGATCACTTCTTCGAATGGGATTCAGTTGAGGGTTTTGTATTTCGGCCAATATGTGTAATGGCATTTTTCATAATTAACAGAATGTCGCACTTAATTCGATTTGATTTGATTTATTCATTTCTAAAAACAACTTGAAAGAGTCAAGAGCTGATTGTCAAGTCAAGAAGATTTGTTTGCGAAGATATTGACAGTGAATCAACGGTCGCTGATGAAATTAGGCCGAAAGACGCACGAATCTCTAAAATAATTTATTCATTGGTCCTCGGTGACTGCACAATTCTCAGTATCATTTGAAATTCACTAGATTCAAGAGCAAATTTTCTTTCCAATCGGAATATCCTTATTAATCCAGTTGATTCTATTCGATGTTCTATGTCTCTCGCCCGCGTGCTAAGCAATTCCTCTTTGGTCGAATTCTTTTTGCGTCTTCTGCGAATTGCAATGCAAAGAAAGCACACACAGGACATACAATGAACTAAAAGACACCATCTACTACCAATACATGCAAAGGGAAGCGATTGGCGCGCGCGACACACACCATTTCTCGTTTGCTTCTTTTCGATCCACGAGTAAATTGCACGGCAAACATAGCAATGCATTGGTATTGGTGGCAAGAGGGTATGCGCAATTTCATTGTATGAGTGTTTTCGTTACCGAATCAACAACCAATGTACGTCTATGTATATATATATATGCGTATATACGGTGTGTACTATAGCCCCATAAAGTTGTGTCATATTTGATGGAATACAATACAATATTTCGATTTTTGTTCGTACATTTATTTGATTGTAGCAGCGCAGTTCTCTCTGCTGTAACTATATCTATTGCTTCTCTTCAGTTCTCTCTCTGGCGCGCGTACTGCTACTCTCTGTTTGTCTGACAGCACACACACAGTTCGTGTGAATTTTATATGAGCGAACGCGCTCTCTTTCATTCTCTCTTTTCTGTCGTCATTCGTCTATAAATTTCTGTGTTGTCATTCTCTTTCGCTCTCTCTTTCCCGTGGTTATTGGTCTCTCACTGTCGAACGAAGCAGTTGCATATTATAACAACAGCCAAACAAGTCTTACGTCCGCAAACACATTATTTGGATTTAAAATCAGTTAGAATAACGCGTTCAATGCGAACAGTTTGTAGTTGGATAAGCGAGAGTGTGAAATAGCGCTAAACGAAACGAACGACGACAATTGATACAACGATTTTCGTTCCAAAAAAAAAAAAATAAAAAAAAATTTATTCGCGGTGTTAAAACAAGGTGATTTTTTATTTTGAAAAAGAAACAACAAAATCATCAAGCGATAACAATAAACAAATCGAACATAAATACGTTCGAAAAGAAAATTGCGCGCGGTAAAAGGATTGAAACGGTGGAACCGCCTAGCATCCACACAAGAAACAGTAACCAACCACTTGCGTTTTTCAAACGTCATTTCAAAAACCACCAAGATAGTGCTCTAGTTTAATTACGACGCGCCAATACTTAATCCCAGCGACACACACAGAGCATAGCTCCTTTTTTCTCAAAAGAGAAAATAAACGAAAACATTCCTTAGTGCATGCAAAATCGAAATCGAATTCGGTGAATCGGAATAGTCCTGAACCAAACATATCAAGAAAAAGGATAGTCAAAATTGGACTTTTTTTCCATTGGTTGAAAGAGAAAAAAGAAGTGAAAGATTTCGGAAAGCGGTGGTGGTGATTCATTGAAAATCGATACACATCGGAAACGGTTAGTAGTGCAATCCACCGTAGAATGAAATATAAGAAGAAGGAAAAAAAACAGCAACAACAACAACAACCTAGAAGGAAACTAACTACGTCATAAGGAAATTGTGTTAAAATCGAAAATCATATGAAGCTCTCGCACAACCTTTGACACAGAATTTAAATGCGAAAACGCATTCAATGGCAATGGCAAAAGAAATTTACATTTTCTGTTTCGTTTGTGCTGGAGACAAAAATTCGGACAAAAACTAGTCGCTTTGATTTCGTTGTTGTTGTTGTTGTTGATAAAACAACGGTTTCGCTTTGGGTTGCGACCAAGTGCTCTATGGTTATTCAATTCAATTGTCTATTCGATGATATGTTTTTAGTTGTTTTTTTTCGGTTGTGTCAATTTATCTATCCTTGATTCGTAAGATTGTGTATACACGTCGACTCATTTGGTCATTTTTGATTTTGTTTTGCCAATCACAAACCCGTGTAGCATGGACCACTTTTCGACATTCCCATAAAACTGACAATGGAGAGAGAGAGAGAGAGAGAGAGAGAGAGAGAGAGAGAGAGTTCCTGTGCATAAGAGTAAAGCTGACATTTGTTATAGTGTGTGCGAGTTATATCGAGAGTGGTTGTTTCCTTCCCTCCTGAGTTATTTCATCCCCATTGTTTTCCATCGCAATCTTGATTTCGAATGTGAATTCCATTGTGTACGACGTAATAGTTCATTTGTCATTTTCATCTCTCGACAAAACAATAGACGAGCAACAGCAACAAACAGCATAATCGAAGAATTCCGGAAATGGAAACATATTTTCGGCTGCAGCATGTTTTTCTCATTTTCGTGTTTTTTTTTCGGCTGTGTCGTAAAATTGTTATATGAGTGAATCCTTGGTGGATTTCATGCAAATTTCATCAGTGGAATAATAAAATGGTTGTGCGAGAAGAAGAAGAAAAAACAACATCATTAATTAAAAAAACAGTTCTCTTTTTTTTGTGTCGGCATTGTTGCTGCTTTTGCGTTCAGCACACATTTGGCGCACTTGAATCGTAAATTCAACGCAGATGAACACGACAAACAAACAAAAGCTTTACGTCAAAATTCATGAAACATTTTCAAAATGAATTGGAAAGGAAAATGTGCGTATATATCATTTGGCTATGGTGTATCTGCTGCTGCTGATGCTTTGTGTGCACACACCGTTGTTAGCTGTTGGTCGAAGGCAATTTGATAATGCGTTGTTATATTTTTCCGTGAGCCATGTATTTTTTTTCATCCTTATTGCTGCTGCTGCTACTGAACTTTAACGTTGGCATTTTTCCTGGGCGGTGTGAGAACGAGATAATGATGACGGTGGTGGTAGTGATGGTGGTGGATTGGTCCTTTGTTCCGTAGCGCGAACACGGTGCGTTGCTCTCGTTGTACCTTGTACCTTGTCAAGTGTCTATCATTGCATTGATGTATGCTTCTCGCATCTTATACACTTTTATAGTCCTCCGGTGTATACATACTTCCTAATGTGCCTAGAAAATCGATAAAAAAAAGTGTATCCAAACTCACTCTCTCTCTCTCTCTGGCATTGCACACACCGTCATCGTCGTCGCTAGCATAACAGCGACACGTAACGCGGACTCGATTGCACACGGGGTTAAAAACGGTGCAATCGTGCAATTTCACTGAATATTGTGTTGTTGTTTTTTCTTCTTCTTCTCTACCTTCCATTTCATTCTATGTTTAGTTGGATTTTTTCTTCTCTCCTCTTCATAGTATTTGTATCCTTGTTTTCCATTTCCACATCCTTGTTTGGGCGCTCTGTTTCCATTGTGTCTGCATCGAAAACTCGTTGTGTCCTTTAGCATATGCATACATTTGGTTCTTTCGTGTGTGCGCCCCAGCCAACTGTCCCGCTCATGTGCATGTCTCCCTCTCGCTCTCTCTCTCTCTCTCTCTCTCTGGCTGTGTCGATACATGATTTTAATTGAATTCTATCGTTTTTTAGCTCAAGGATCGTTTCTACTCATTTGCAATAGATACAGAGCCCAATTCGTTGCTCGTTGGTTTCGTTCAGTTTTTTTGCCCTGTTCATGTTTCCACTCGATTATTTCATATCATGGGTACATATTATGGTCATTTTGCATACTATTTCCATATTTCATATTTGCCAAATTTTCCGGTGCATATTTTCTGGGACTGCCAATGGAATGAGAACGAACGTGACTGATAAAGGAATGGGACAGTCGAATTCTCAACACTCAACAAAAAGCTTGTCAATGCACTGTACACACATATAGACACACACATACCGAAAAAATACCATTTCAATTTTAATCGAGAATAATTGACTTCAATTCAAAAGCGTTTGTAATGTCGACCGCTGCCACAACCAGTCACATGTTTTCGATACATTTGAAGTCTATTTGATGTTGTGTGTTCGATTTTAAACCGCCACTCAACCCAAATATTCGTGCGGTCATCATCATATCATGCGTATGAGAATTTCGTGTATTTGCCCAGCGGCGGCAAAATAATTTCAAAGTTTTCGGCACACGCAAAATGGTTTCAAAGTTCAATGTATTGCATAATCGAACGGTTTATCATCGCTCATGTGTATGAAAATGCAAATAAATCGAAGTTGAACGATGAAAACAAAGTACCAAAGAAAAACACACAAATAACACGGGCAAACCGAACAATATATAAATAATGAGTTGTGACAGCTTCATTCGCTTTGATATATCTCAATAAATTTCTCCATGTTCGGTCGACGGGGCAATTTGACAAGGCGTTGAGAGATTCAATATATTTATACACAATTTGCTGTTATCGTCGTCACCGTCTTTGTGGCGTCGTGTGTCCATAATCTTGTTTTCATCTCGACTTTTCCATTTGAATTCTCGCCGAAACGAAAAACGTCTTTTTCTCTTTGTGTCTCTCACAAATTTTTCAACCATCACACGCATGCAAATCGTTTGACTCTAAATGAGCCGTAGAGATGAAGTGAGAAAAAAAGCGTCGAATAAGATGAAGATGAATGTGGCGCTGTCCGAACGGTTTAAGAACCGTAAATTCAAGTGTGCGGAGAAAGCACAAGCGTACTTGTTGAAACGAGTGATCCTTCACATACATCGTCCATCAAATCAAAGAGAAACTTCTTTAATTGAGTTGCTTGTGCAAATGGATGTTTTGTGTGTGTGTGTGTGTGTGTGTATATGTGTATGTTTTGTTGGTGTTTATCTTTGGCGGTACAGTGATGAATCGATGAAAAGCATAATGCCACTTGACGTCACCAGAAACGGAGTGAGCAAGCGAGCGAGTGAGCTCGTGTACGTCTCTGCTGAGCTCAATTTGTTCCATTCTTTCTATCGGTTGAAAGTGAAGAAAGGTTATGGTGTGAAAACCAGGGCAAGGACAAAAAGTGAAAATTGACTTTTCCATCGGGTCTCTTTCTCCGCTTTTTTTATAGTGCTCTGCTGCCAGAGAGCCGTGTGCATGTACGGCAGCTGCACATTTGTGCATGTTCGTTGCATCTCCACATCGGCTCCAACCCAACGTCTAATTTTAAACATTTTCCACAACTTAATTGGTTTTCCAATATGGATATGGCGAATGTGTGCTGCCAACTTTTTTTTCTCTTATTCATTCATTTTTTTTCTGCTGTTCACATTCGGCTCACTTTCATTTTTCTTGCCAATTCACTTCTTTTAATAGATTCAATTCCGTTTTTTATATTTTGTGTCATCCATATTTTTGAAAGCGATATATGTTGCCATGATCACACACCCATTATCAAAATGGAATAAGCAATTTTGCCGGCAAAATGCCTTCCGATCGACGTTATCACTCATGTCATTCTCGTGTGCTTTTTTTATCTGGTTCTTGTTGTTGCTTTTGTTGAATGTGCTCTTCATTTTCCACATTAATGCGGTGGTGGCGGGCACACAAATTATGACACATTTTCGCCCGAGTTGCGGAAATCAACGGCATGGAACATATCTACCCATCATCGGTGACAAGGAAATTTTATAGTCAAATGTTGAAATTTATTTATGGTCATTTTTTATCAACGGTATTTCATTCATTTGATGACTTGCAATTTTGATCCTTTCGATGTTTTCGCAAGGATTCTCCATTGCAAAAAATAGATAGCAGAAAGAGCGAAGAGAAAAACAAATTGAAACATCCAATTAATTTTGTTTGATTTACTTTAAATGGTATTTGGATAATGAACTATGATGTGGTGATACACAAACAATTCTGATGTGAATAAAAGCGAAGCGACCTTCATATCGCATATGACATTGATATTGAGTAACCAAAGCATGAAACTAATATGTATCGATTTTAAATCTATTCCGCACAAAAGACACGGCTTTCAAAACAGTCAAACGCAACTAAAACTTCATCTCATTCTCCATTATTCTCTTCAGTCGAAACGAGAACTTTATTGAGCAACATTCACACACACACATTTCACGGATTAACCGCAAAACAGCAATATCGTGTAGTACGCCGCGCGCCCCATACATCAAGCTCCTGTCTAATTAACCAACACATAATTTCGGTAAGTTTATTTTTCTCCCATCTTAATTACATTCACTTATTTCCATTTTTATTTAGCCGATTTAAGGAGATTTTGAGAGTGGAAAAAACGAATACGTTTCAATTCCAACGAATGGAATATGATTGTTCAAAGAATTTGTAATTAATGTTAGCAACGGCAGGGCAGCGCAGCATGCATTTTATGTACTTGCGGTGTGGTCTCATTCCATGGTGCGGTTTTTTTTTCATGTGGCTGATGCTCTGTTGTTGACTAGCAAACGTTTCACGGAAATGGGTTTTTATTGCATTTTGGGAGAAAAAGGTTTTCACAAAAACTACAAGAACATGAGGAACAGTGATCCCTTGCAAAGCAGAGATAGAGAGAACGAAAAACAAACCAAAAATAAATAAAATCATTTTCTGGTTTCGGCAAACATGAAAAATGGTAATTTTTCGGCGCTGTGCAACCATTCTCCATATCGTCCACTCGGTGGAAGTAAAAAGTGTCTTCACTCATTAGCTTAGCAAATATAAACTGGTTTCTTTTTTTTCTTCTTCTTCTTCTGCTCGTCGTTGTTGATAACCGTTTCTGTTTTTTTCTTCGCTTTTGACCTTCAATCGCTTTCAATTCGCTGAAGATGTCTTTGCACCAAGTATCACATTGTTAATATGCACACGAGAGGGAAAAGAGAAAAACGCTTGTTGAAAAACACTAACCAAATGCAATCTCCTCTTATTTAAACTGTCAATGGAGAGAAATAAGAAATGAGTTATGAATACCCTGTACATAATACGGATTGAATACAGAGGAGAGCCTTCAAAATCGCACTCAATCTGATGAAGAACCGTTAAATCTCGAAATCCTATCAATTTCGAAAGCCATACATGTTGGTCGTTTTTCATTGGAATATCACACAGGAGAGACACATTTTTATTCATCGGTTTCTTTTACCGGCACTTTATTTTTTTTTTAAAAACTCGTTTAAATCACTCACAAATTCGCAAGCGCTCACTTTTTTCAATAACTTGACAATATTTTTTCCAATTCGTTCTCTAATTCCGACTTATTCCGCATTCATTGATTCCCTTTTCACGGCTCACACTTCCACCGAAATTCACATTCAGTGGCAAAGCGGATTCATGTCGCCGTTTCGACAACATACACACAAAAAAAGCTATCGCATGCGCTTCTGAATGAATCACTGCAATTCCAACAGATAAGATTATATTTCATTGAATGAAACTATTGATTTTGTTTTCCGTTTCACTGACACAGCCAAATTGAAAGGTTTTACGAAATTATTAATCCATACAGTTTGGTTCGATCATTGCGCGCGACTTGTAACCGCCGCCATCGCAATAATTTATTGTTTGTTTACTATATTCAATTACATCTACAGAGCCGAAGATTTGCTGAGTAAAAGACTGAGAATTTATAAATAAAAATACTCGAGTCGATTGATAAACGCTTGAATTTTTGTGAAATATGAAGTGTTTCAGTTGAACTAATCGTTCATTACGAGATAAAGTGCTGATGTTTCGACGAAAAAAGAAAACGTTCCAAAAAAAATCTCCATTGTCAGCACAGACTACGCATAAACATGTCACTTAAGTGTCGTCGGTTGGTTATGTTTTTTTTTTATTCGTAAGCCGTTGAACGCGCAAAACGAATCAACATGAGCAAATGATTTTTAAATTAACCAAATGTTCGTCTTTATTTATGTACTTTTATCTTTGTATAAACAGCTGGTGCGCATTCGCATTTCGATCAACTGTAACAATGTGCGTGTTCACATAACAATATATGTTGGTTTGTTGTTCAACTGACTTTGCATGATCTAATTGTATGAGCACCAAATAGATTTTAATCCATTTTTAAATGAAATGATTTACACGCAATAACACTAAAATGAACATTCAAATTGAATGTTCGATCATTTTCATCCGAAATATGCTGATTAAAACTGGAAGCGTTCAGAAAGAACGGCTAATTATGATTCTTGATTTTAACATATCACCAACGACGAAGAAAAAAAAATGGTTTCATATTCAATATGAATCTATAATTGGTTCCCATCGTCAACGTTGTCAACGCTTCTTTCATTTTCTTCGTTGTCACGACCGGATCGCGTACAGGCAACCGCGAATCAAAGAAGCTTTTATGGATTTGGTGTGTGATTCAATCAAGAAGAAAGAAGAACAAGAAACAAAAAAAAAACATTATCATTTTCGTAACATGTCCCCGATGGCCATTGTTATTAGTATTATTAGTAGCGAGTTTCCTGTTGATGACGACATATCAGCCACAATATATTAGAACATTCGGCTAATTTGGTATTCGGTTCGTGGCTTGAGTGTTACTCATAAAATATTGTCATAATTACCGGCCAGGTGCAGGTGTTTTCGCACGTTAGATTTTGAATACCAATTAAGCATCGATTGAACCGCAATCCAAACACACCAGGCTTCCAGATTCGTTCTCAGTGTGTCGAATGCATTCGATTTATGGCATTCAAACCCATAAATCTTGTGTGAGCGTTAATTTCGAAATAATTCACGTGTTGCACTTGAAATATACTCACATTTACCATTGAAAATTGCTTACTCGCCGCGATGCCATTGAACACCCACTTCATTTCGAATGCATCTCATTATTTTGATCGAGAGCGAAATTCGCTAATAAAATTTCCAAACGACCTGAATGCTTTTTTCTTTCTTTCGTTGATTAATTCGAATGATATGAAAAGTCTGTTATATTCGGAAAGAAGAGAGAAGTGTTCTGCTCCGTTTTATGTTGTTTGTATTTGCAGGTTTTTTTTTATTTTCTCCTGTTGTTCTGACTGTTCTGTGTATAACCAAATGTGTTTGATCTGTTTTCGATCGAACCACTTGTTGGAACAACATACACTCACTGTGCCGTGTGGCCCCCAACGACTGTGAATTCAATTCGTTCTCTCACTCTCTCGGTCGCGCTATCTTACGTTCATCTTTTTATGGTGTTTTAATTCATTTGCATAAAAGTCTATTTCGCATTCATGTGCGTTTTGATATCATTCCATCTCATCGTCGTTTTCAATTCCCCCCAATTTTTCTATTTATAAATGTGTGACCTAATCTTGCGTTCAGTCGTCCGTTAGCGCTCTAACAAATGTGTACCCAGAAGAAAAAAGAATTGACACAAAATATGTGTGACCAAAAAACAAAAAAAAATGAACGCGAACAACGTGGCTGGAAATGAATTTTGTACACATTTTCTTTGCGCCATTATTAACAATGCTTACTACCTTACCGGTTTCTTTATTTCTTCTTCTTCATCAACATGATACACCTCGCTGACACGCACACTCAATTCCACTTAATTGACGGTCTCTGATATGTGACTGTCCTGTGCTAACCCATCGTTTGAAAATGACGAGAAAACAACAAATTCTTCTGAAAATGCTCACGATGATGACACTGACGCTGGAATTGTGTGTGGACTGAATCTCGAAAAACGAATCGGTTTTGCGGAATTTGATGAGGAAAAAGAACAGTTCCTCCTCTCTATATTGTGGCTAATTGACTATAATTCGAGCCAATCAAGTGGCAATCCGTAGACCAGTTCAATCTATCAATCGGATACATGAACGACATTTCCAGTTCTCTTTTTTTCCTCTCATTTCTTTCAAACAACAACAAAAACAACAACACTAATTCGTGGTATTTTCGATGACTCTGTTCTTCTCGGTGTCTATCCATCATGATATCACTCGCTCTCTCGTAACTCACATCCGGATTATTTTACATAAATACTTGCCGATCGAGCCCGATTTTCTATGCTAAAACTCGCGATCATCGTTATTGAGAGATGAATAAGTCGAATCAACATTGAATTGATACTGTCTGTCTGTTTTCGCAAACGACGCCACAAAAATTTCGTTGTTTCAAGCAATTCATCAAATGAAACCGAACAGAAAACGAGGAAATAAAAAGATGATCGGCTATAAAGAGTTTAGCTCCACAATTACAGCTGATTCATTGTGCTGGCTGGGTACAGCGTCGTGATGTGAACGTCAGCTGAATACGAGTTAATTAAAATTGAACAGTTGAAATTATATAGACATATGCTGCGCATATTCAAGCTTTATATGTCATAATCCCACAGATCAGATTTGTGTGGCGTTGAATTTCAAGAAAATCAAAAGGCAGAAGAAAAAAACCAAAACAGCAACCAATCTGTTATTGTTCGCGTCGAAATGTCTGCGGCAAAATATTTCACGCGAGGGGGTTTGTATCAAATTCGCACAGCACGTGGATATTCAAAAACGTTTGGTTTTTGGCTTGCTCACTCTCTGGCATCAATTTCACGTCACCGACCAGAATATGAAACCATAATCAAAATTGCGTTTTAATGTCAAAAAAAAAAAATCTTACTTCCCGCCCGTCGCTCGAAAAGAAAAGCAGTTTGATGACTTTCGCAGCTAGAGTTCGTTGATCAGTCGGTGCAAGTGTGTATGAGGTGAAAGATTACATCACTCTGCCATATAGCCCCCTCTATTTGGTGCGCGCGGTCACTTTTTATTTATTATTATGAAACTTATCGGTAAAACGGAGATAAAGCTGGCAAAAGAAGTGGGGAAAAAACACGGGATTGCCCGACCATGCATTACGCGTGCACACATTCGTTCGCCTAGAAGTGATCTGCTCTTGACTTTCAAAAAAAAAAGAAGAGAGAAAACAACGACCCAATGCACACGCAAAAATGAATTTCGAGAAACCAGGTGAATAGAGAGAGAACGGACGAACGAATGAATAACAACAACAGGAAAAGAGTGACGTTGAAACGCAAATGAACATGAAAGCGCAGCGGTATATTCTTGCCGATCCATCGAATTGCTTGGCTTTTGTTTCATTCTATTTAGAGATTCGCGTGCATCTTACGATTGTTCTTCGTTCAAAGCGGTTTCTTTTTCTTCTTCGTTACTGTGGTTGTTCCATAGAGAGAGAGCGTTTCGACTTATTCGTTTTTATTTTCGCTGTGAG